CTCCGACTAAAAAAAAAAAAAAGACTGGCCTAGGGGGCTTGGCCTGCAGATTCCACACATGTCAGCAGGTGGCCCCCAAATACGTCCACGTGCAGCCTCCCCCTCCCAGGCCTCCTCTTGAATTGTTCTAGCTCCATGGGACTTAACACACTTGGACATAAAATATTAGCATCTGTGACTGCAGGTGCTGCTGGTCTCTTCCTGAGCCAGGGGGTGGCCCGAAGGAGAGAAGCTGGAATCAGGAGCAGCTTCCTGCCTCCCGTAGCCAAGTCCCCAGAAGGGTGACTCATCCAGTGTGCCCTCACCACCTGTCTCCCACACTCCTCCTGCCTCACTCCACCCCACCCCCACTCATGGCAGACAATCATTTGCACCTCTGCCTTTGGTTCTTCCCCCTTATTCCAAGTCACAGTGATCCCCAGTGCAGCTTTGCTTTGGAAATTAATTCTAGGGTTTTAGATACTGAACATAATTTGCTGGCATCTTTTAAAACACCTTCATCTGCAGTAATAATCTCAGTGGGTATTTGAGTAGGGATCCAGTTAAAAGTACATTTTTAGTATAAATACCTTCCAGGCAGTATTTGGGACATACTGATACTAAAACAAATGATTTGTTGTTTATCTGAAGTTTAAATGTCACTGGGTAGGCTGGACACCTGTAATCTCAGCACTTGGGGAGGCTGAGGCAGGAGGATTTCTTGAGTCCAAGAGTTTGAGACCAGCTTGGGCGACATAGTTAGATGAGACCTCATCTCTACAAAAATTAAAAATAAAAAAAATTAAGTAGACATAGTGGTGCTCCTATATTCCTAGCTACTTGGGAGACTGAGGTGGAGGGACCACCTGAGCTCAGGAGGTTGAGGCTGCAGTGAGCTATGATTATGCCACTGCACTCTAGCCTGGGTGACAGTGACAGAGTCAGATCTCATCTCAAAAAATAAAAAAATTATAAATGTAACTGAGAGTCCTGTATTTTATTTGGCAATCCTAACACTAGGCTCTGTAGCTGATGAAGGACTGATACTCTTGACCCTTTCTAGTCAATCATTTATGCTTATTGAACTAACTCTATGCCAGGTACTCTGTTAGGCACTAGGGCTGCAGAAGTCAGGGAGGCAGACAGTCAACAAGATAAATAGATAAATTCCTCAGCGTATAAATAAATAAATTACTCAGTGTATAAATTACTCTTAAGTGCTGTGGAGAAAAATAAAGCAGAAAAAATGTGTTATTGGAAGGAAAGAGTTGCAATTTTAAAAGAGTAGCTAGGTAAGACTTCATTGAGAAGGTGATATTTGAGCAAAGACTTGAAGGAGTTGAAGGAGCTAGTCTGGAATACTCTGGGAGAAGAGTATTCCAGGCAGCGCACCCATTGTGTGCAAAGGTATACAATTTAGGGCCCCATTTGGGGCTCAGTTATCTGATGAGGTCAGCCTTGTTTCCTCAAGCACATTTTAAGCCACAAAGGAGAATTTAGTAGCTGAAAGGGATTTCAGGCACAGGTGGATCCAGCTGTTTAAATGGTAACGCCAGTATTTGATCACTTCCACTTCTCTCTGTGGTGGTTGTATTCTCAGAGAAAAATTACACTGTCTGTTATTTCCAGCAAATGTTCTTCAAATCTTATTGAGTTGGCATGGATCATGTGACTATCCCTGGCCCAATCGCTGTTGTCAGGGGTAGGATGGACTGACTAGTCTCCATTGCTGGAGCCAGTGTAGAGGTTTTGAACCACTTAGGCAGAGATGGAAATTTTCTTAAAGGAAAGTGGGAAGGCTGCTGTGAGAAGGAGCATGAAAGCTGGGCTGACAAGACCACAGCATACCAACCACACCTCCCCTGAGCATTCTGGGGTCCTAGACAGATCGCTTTCCCTCCTGAGCTTTGGCATTTTTTTTTTCTCTAAGATGGGAAGAGAATACTACCATCCTTTTTTCCTTCACTAAGATATTTTAAGAGGGAATGGAGAAAAGATTCTTTTTTAAAGAAAGATTAAAAAAACAAACAAAGCCATAATCTACCCCTTCTCCCCTGCCCCACTACCTTTAAGCCAGTTCTCACCTCGGCTGGGGATCCCTGTGGGCTTTGGTTCTTTATGGGTAGGGTATGTTATTTAAATCCCCGCATCTCAACTCTTGTTCTCTCTGTTTCCAGGAGGCCCAGAAGATTAACAATGGCTCAAGCCAGGCGGATGGCACTCTCAAACCAGTGGATGAAAAAGAGGAGGCAGTGGCCGCCGAGGTCGGCTGGATGACCTCCGTGAAGGACTGGGCGGGGGTGATGATATCCGCCCAGACACTGACTGGCAGAGTCCTGGTGAGTCCCCAGTCTTTCCTCACACCAGGAGACCATGCTGTCTGGGCCAGGATGGCTCTGTTTATGAGAGGTGCTGTTCCTGGGGTGTGTTCCAGGCCTCTGGCTAGTGGAAGGTGGGGGTGAGCTGTGAGTGCTCCTGCGTGTTCACGGAGGAGAGGCTGAGTTCTTTGTGCACATCTACGCTAGGGGTTTGTGGAGGGATTTGCAGAGAGTGGGCCAGCATCCTGGGCAGAGAGGGTCTGTTGAAAAAATGTGGCAGACTTCCTTTGCCAGTAAGATAGGCGCATGTGGACACACACACACACACACACACACACTGCCATCTTGAAGAGGAGAAAAGGATCCAGGAAACATACACCAGAACCTATGGACAGCCTTAAATGCAGGGATTCAGGGAGTTCTGGGTGTGTTTGTGCACACGTGTACCTGTTTGGTGGCCTTCAGCAGATTTTACTGTTGTCCTCTGGCGGCCTCATAGAGAACCCTTCCTGGGGCGGTTTCCTACTCTCCTGCACTGTATGAGCTGGCCATGGTGGAAATCTTCAGTCATGCTGGTGGTGAAACTCATCCACAGCCCACCTGAGGCTGTCTGGTCCTTGTACTTAGAGCATACTCATGGGCCCTTTTCTGGTGAGGTAGAGTCCTGGCTCATTGGCAACTAGGGCTCATCCACCCCTTCTCTGTGCATTTCCAGCATCTCTCTGGTCTGCTTACATGAAGCTTAGCTTCCCTGACTGGCTTCATGAGCCTCTGTTTTTTTGTCTAGGATTGTGAGTAGGACAGGCCTCGAGTGACCAACCATCCCAGTTTGCCTGGGACTGAGGGGTATATGGGACATTAATCTTTTATTGCAAAAAGTAGGAAAGTCCTGGGCAGTCAGGGATGAATTGGTCACCCTAACCAGGCTTGCGTCCCTGCAGTAACTCTGTCCTTGGGCTTTTTTGGGTCTGCTCCGAGTCCTTTCAGAGGATATTGCATTCAGAGTGATTTCTCATTGTGATTCTGGAAGCTGTTTTGTTTGGGTGGCCTGTCCTGGCCTGGAGCTAAGGCTCAGTGTCAAGAATCATTTGGATCAAAGATCAGACAGGGACACAAGAAAATAGATGTTATTACCTCCAGTTTCATGGCAGAAACTCAGTGAAGAGGTGATTGTAGATGGAAGGAGATGACAAAAATGTCACTTATCAGAATCCTTCTTGGGAAGAACTCACTGTTATGTTTGGGATAAATGTCTCACAAACTGCTGGGGGAAGGAGCAAGACACTGGCTGCAGAGCTTGATAATCAAAGGTGTCAGCCACACAGCCTTCTAGGAGGACAGGTTCTGTTCACTGAGGGTCCTATTGGGAGCTGTCTCCCAGAATATGGATATGGAGGTGAGACTGATGTCAACTGATGGCAACATGGAAAGAGGAAAAATTTAAAGTTGAGGTTTTGGAGGAGGAGGAAGTGGTGAGGTCATTTACTACCTGGAGGAAGGCAGAGAGAGGGACAATCTGAGCCCGTATGACTCAGGAAAGACTGCATCTAATGAGGACTTGGAGGTTCCTTGCTGTTGGCTGTGCTGTGTAACTACACGTCTGTCTCTCCTCCTGACTTTTCAGTAAAGTCTCCATTGCTCTTTCGTGCTTGTTTATGAGTGGATTTTGCATTGGAAACTTAAAAGATGTTGACCTCTGGGCCTGGGTGTTCACATGGGACAATACGGAGGCAGTGCAGTGCATTCTACATGCATGGTGGTGATGGTCAGTGATGAGCAGCAGACAGTTTGGTTGCACAAATGTGACATTTGTTTCTTCCATGTGGCCATTATGGACAGTTCTAATTATCTTCATCAGCATCTGCCAAGACTTACTGAGCACCAATTCTGGGCCAAGTATTTTTTTTTTCTCAGTTCTATGAAAAACAGGGAATGATCCTGATTCTATTGCACTACATATGGAGGCTACTGAAGGAATGGATGGAGGATAGATGCTATGAGTACAAACATTGTGTGCATAGACATGTGTGTAGTGTGTGTAGGGGAAAATAGGGAGGATCAAAAAGCCTTCATAGGGCTTCACAGGGAGGAAAGCCTTTGAAATGAAACTTTCATTTCAAGATGAACTGAGCACATGCTTTATGGTAGGGAAGATATCAAAAACAAAAACATCCTCGAGCTTAAAAACAAAAATGAACTTGGCCAGAATTTGTGAAGAATACCTAATAAGATGGAAGCATTTGAACTGAGCTTTGAAGTGTGAGTTAGGATCTTAAAAGTGAAAGAAGAGGAAACCCTTCCCTTCCAAAGGAGCAGAAGCAGGAGCAGAGAAGGAGCCTGGTGCACTGAGGGAATCGAGTATGCTCTGTGGGGCCCAGGGCTGCAGACTGAGGAGGTGTACTGGAGACGGCTTGCTGGGGCTCTAAAGGTGAGAGCTGAAGAAGTTGGTAGGACAAGGATATTTTGAGGGAGGGGTGCTGTGATTGGTTGTTCTTCAGAGAGAGCTAGAGACCAAGTGGAGACCCAGTGGGTGAGGCAGTAGCTTGGAGGTCCTAGGACAAGTTAGGGTAGTGAGTTACTGTCCCAGTGATCATACCAGAGAGGTTGCTGCTGTGGTCTTAGTGAGGCACGGCCTGGACTAACACCAAGCAGAGGATACAGTAGTAGATGTGGGTGACATTGAGGAAACAGCACACATCAGGCCAAACACAACGACATCCACTTGATACTCCTACTAGCAATCACATTATCTAGAGCCTCCCATGAGCCAGGCACTGTGCTAGGCCCTGCACATTATGATCAGTCTGAAGGGCAAAGACCATGTTGAATTCATTCCATGTCTCCTATATTGCTGTTATGTTGGAGGGGTTCATTACAAGGAAATGTTTTATTCATGAATTCATCTCTGTTTTACAGTTGAGAAAATCAAGGCACAGGAAGGGCAATGACTTGCCTAAAAATATACTGCTTTGAGTGACAGAGCCAGGCCAGTTCCCACAGGCCTCTGGACTCCCAATCTAGTGCTCCTTCTGTGTTACTACTTCTCAGTCAAAGATAATGCCTTTTCTTTTCTAAGCCATTGCCAGCTGTCACTTTGGGTGTGACATTTTGACATTACCATCTTTGAACCAATTAGGTCCTGAGGCTGTGTGGCCTGATTCTCTTAACATTTGCATGTGGAAGCACATTTACCCAGGCCTTCTTGCCTGGGACTGCCCAAGGTGTCAGCTGCTCTCTGAAGGTCTCCTTGGGGAAAATCCTGCCCTGCCTGCTGGGCCAATCAGAACAGAGCAGGTCCTGCTGTACAGAGAGTAGCCCTCTCAGAGCTCCAGGTGGTACCTGGGGAACAGGCCTCTCTCATTTAAAAGCAGGAAGATCCTCGCTCTGAACAAAGAACAGATTTCACACGGAAGCAGCAGCACACAGGAGAAAGCAGCTCTGCCTGTTCAGAACCCAAAGCTGTGTTTGTCTTGAGCCGTCCAAATGTTTATCCCTGCAACAATAAGACCAAAGCAACACTAGACAGCTGGCTGTTCAGTTTCCCTTTTCAATTTTTAATTTGTTTTCCTTGACGTACACTCAGGAGTTTGGCCTCTGCATCTGGGCCCCTTTCTCACCTGTCTAATTGTCACAGGTGAAAATCTTGAAGCTGGGACACTGTGGGTAAGGCCCAGTTAGGGAAGGATTTGCCAAGGCAACCTCAGAATATCTGTAGGATCTCTCAGATACATGCAGCTATCATTCAATAAATGCTTATTTCTGACCTGTACCTGGCACTGTTCAAGGTACTGGGCATCAGGCAGTGAGCAACAGAGATCCAGGGTGTGAATTATTGATACAGATAAACCAGATAAGAAGATGTAGAGCTCAATTAAGAAATGACAAATGGTCATCACCATATACCAGTGCTTTTTGTAGTTAGCATTAGAGCCTCATCATTAATGTGATAAAAATTTCCCTGACCCCTCAGCTCCAGGTCTCAGAATAGCCTGTCTGTGTTGCCTGCCCCTCAACCCCAGCACCCAGGCTCTGCTACCCCGAAACAGCAAGACTTTTCCTGAAACACATGGTAAAGGGATCTACATGAAAATGAACACCAGGCTGTCAAGGATTACTGCTTCCTTCATCTTTTTTCTTAATTAAAAAACTATTTATTTTCTGATTATAAAGATAGTACATGTTTGCTTTTTTTGAAAAAAAATTTTGGAACATGCAGGAAGAATTGCTGATAAATTCCACTTTGGGATTTGGAGTTGGCTCACACTTGGGGCAAATTTCAATATAGCAGTAAATGTCATCAGAATTTCTCCCAATTGTTTGGACAATATTGAGGACTTTGTTCTCTATATCTCATGTTATCCTCTTTATGCATAGACTTATGGGAGAAATCGTTTTTTACATTAGGGATTGTTGTGGTTTTCCCAGGAAACATCCAATGAACACTCAAAATGGGAAAGAGATTGTGTTTCTCTTTCTGCCAGATGCAGAGTATCTCAGGTTTGCCCTTTGAGTATTCACATCCTCCCTGGCCTCTCTCACTTTGCCTTGACTTCCTCAACTCTTCTATTTAAAATTTACATGTACACAGTTCTGTGCCCCATACATTTTTTGTGAAACCAATTGACTCTTTCCAGGAATAAGGCAGTGTCTAAAAAACAGGGCAAGAAACACACCAAGAAGGCTTTTGTAGAATTTGCCTGTGCTGTATAGAATCATAAGCCAAAACCAATAGGAATAGTCAAGTCTAGGGTTGGTTAAGTTTCTCTGTAGAGGGCTATATAGTAAAATAAATATTTGAGGTTTGCAGATCTTATGGACTTCATTACTCAACATTGCCATTATAGTATGAAAGCAACCACAAGCAGCCCATGGCAGTGTTTCAATAAAATGCTATTTACAGAAACAGGTGATGGAAGGTAGTTAGATAAAAGGAATAAGTTCTAATATTCAATAGTATATTATGTAAATTATAGTTAACAATAATTTGTTGTGTACTCCAAAATAGCTAGAAGAATTGGAAT